ACCGGCCGCGGAAGCGCCGAGAAGCGAATCGTTCACGAAGTCCGGCCGCTGCTTGCCGCTACTCAGTTCAGATCAGACGCGCCTCGGCTCAGCTGTAGTTTTTCTTTTACTTGGTGTCCTCCATTTCCTCAGCTCTTTTCTTCTACGTGTGTGTGTGTGTGTGTGTGTGTGTGTGTGTGTGTGTGTGTGTGTGTGTGTGTGTGAGTGACAGAGAGAGAGAGAGACTATGGTGTGAACCAGTTGTTTCTGCCAGTTGAATCTCTTGGACTTCCCTACATGGGTAGCTCGGGGGTGACGATGGCTGAAGATATCGCATTAGCGTTCACACTTGTTCAATTTTCAATTTTAATTCTGGTGCCTGTTAGCAGCTGAAACACATCCTCACGTGCTTGTGGATATCATATATTCTATATGAAGACATGAATGTAATAATAAGTAAAAGTAATCAGCTGTAGCTTCAGTGTGCTCATAGGAAACGTGACAAAAGAACACAAAACACATTTCTCTTTATGGCCTATATAGTTGTCATCATCAACGTCACATGATTTACAGAATACATGTGACCAACTAACATTTCATGTTCTACCACCGGATGTTTGGATCAAAATATGAACCAATCAGATCTTAGATCAGGAGAGAGCCAGGCGTTTCCCGTCATCATCTAGGTTTTGCAGCCAAGGGAGAGCAACTGCAGCGCCTTGCTCCAAAATCTGCGGCCGCCTTGATCTCACGAGGTTATCAATGCCTACGTATGCATGACGTCAGAGCAAGTCTGCGTCAATTCGGACACAAATCTAACCGGCATGCACTGCTCGCCGATCACTGCTGGTCTAATCTGCACAGAACTGGCTCATCTCGAACACAGCCAATGGCTCGAGTACAGCAAAGCGGAGTTGGTGATGTACTGCGTTGTATGCCGGAAGTATGCGACGACAAAATCGTGTTTTGTTGAGGGAACAAACAAATTCAAACTTGAATACATTATTATGTTTGTGAATGTGTACAAAATAAAGGTTTATTACATTTAAAACGGTTCAGTTGTTATTTTGACTCGTTTTGGCAGCTGACCAGCGGGGCCGGTAGATTCTTGGCGGGGCCGGTAAATATTCAGAGTTACCGGCCCGGCTGGCCGGTTGGTTGGTTTTGAAGTTAATGTCCACCCCTGGAGGAGCTCCTCAAAGTATTCCTTCCACCGCCCGACTATAGCCCTAGTTGACGTCAGCAGCTCCCCATCCCCACTGTAAACAGTGTGAGCGAGTTGCTGCCTCCCTCTCCTGAGGCGCCGGACAGTTTGCCAGAACCTCTTTGGAGCCGATCGATAGTCTTTCTCCATGGCCTCACCAAACTCCTCCCACGCCCGAGATTTTGCCTTGGCAACTGCCACTGCTGCACCCCTCTTGGCTATCCAGTACCTGTCTGCTGCCTCCGGAGACCCACAGAGTAACCACGCCCTGTAGGCCTCCTTCAGCCTGACGGCTCCCCGAAACTCTGGTGTCCACCAGCGGGTACGGGGGTTGCCACCACGACTGGCACCGGCCACCTTGTGACCACAGCTAGTAACAGCCGCCTCAACAATCGCAGAGTGGAACAAGGCCCACTCGAAGTCAATGTCCCCCACTGCTCTCGGGAAGCGGTCAAAGCTCTTGACAGGTTCATCTGCCAAGCGTTCCCAGCAGACCCTCACTATGAGTTTGGGTCTGCCAGGTCTACGCAGCATCTTCCCCTGCCATCTGATCCAACTTACCACCAGGAGGTGATCAGTTGACAGCTATGCTCCTCTCGTCACTCGGGTGTCCAAAACATACGGCCGCAGGTCAGATGATACAACTACAAAGTCTATCATAGACTTGCGACCTAGGCTGCCCTGGTACCAAGTGTACTGAAGGGCATCCTTATGTTTGAACATGGTGTTCGTTATGGCCAAACTGCGACTTGCACAGAACACCACTCGAGTTCAGAACAGGCAGGCCATTCCTCACAATCACACTCCTCCAGGTCATGCTATCATTGCCCACGTGAGCATTGAAGTCCCCCAGCAGGACAATGGAGTCCACAATGCGATTGGTAGAAGAAAAAAATAACCGCTATCTGCAATTTGTGATTAACGTCTCTCAGAGCCGGTCAAACCAGCCGTCCGTCGCTGCTACTCTGGAGCCTAGAGATAACCTGACAGCAGCATTGCGTCGGCCCCTCCCTTCCTTTCCCTAACACTGTAGTCGCGCAGCGGCAAAAATGTAAACAAACATATCTGCCGAACGTTTACTCCGTGAGAGTGCTGTAAAGTTTGTATCCTACAACAAAAGCACGGCGCGGAGGAAGCTCATTAAAATGCGTCAAAACAGTAATGTAATACGTGTTATAAGAAGAAACTGTGGGTGGAGTGAGGTGAGATTGTAAGGCTCGCTGCAGAAATAAAAACACAGAGCATCAACACTCGTCTGTAACCCATAAAATAATAATGAGCATCATGCTGCCAGATCAGCAGCTTGTGATGACAGTTAGTTCTGCTCACTAGGTCAGCTGACCTTAATCCACAAGATGGGACATATGGCACTAGAATTCCAGATAAAGAGCTAGGAGCAAGGCCATTTAAACATTTGTAGGCCAGAACCAAATTCTTAAATTCAACACAGAACTGAACTGGGATCCAATGCAGAGAGGCAACAACTGGAGTGATATGATCAAATCGACAAGTGCCAGTCTAAAGATGGGCTGCAGCATTTTGAACTAGCTGCAGCCTAGCAATACATCCATGATCAACACCCAAGTAAAGACTATTGCAGTAGTCTAAACAAAATGCATTAAATGCATGAATAAGCTCCTCAAAATGATTCCTCATCAAAAAGGACTTATAAAGTTTCTTTAGGTGAAAAAAGCATACTTGAACCACATTATTGACTTGAACATCAAATTTAAGCTGAGAATTCATCTTAACACCCAAATTAGACACAACATCCTTTGCATCGTATGAGACTGAGTAACTACAGGAGCACCACTTGGTGCAAACATAATCAACTCAGTCTTAGACTCATTAATCTGGAGAAAATTACAACCCATCCACAATCATTAACCTCACAAAGACAACTCAGAGCTAAGTCCTTAGCTTTAACAGGAGCATAGACCTGACAGTCATCAGCATAAAGATGAACGTCAAGCTCATATTTCCTAAAGATGGCCCCAAGAGGGAGCAACTATAAATTGAAAAGCAGAGGACCAAGTACAGAGCTCTGTGGGACCCCATATTTCAGGGGAGCATCACTTGAGCAGAAGCTACCAATCTTAACAGTAACATACCTGTCAGACAGGTAGGAACTCATCCAGAAGAGCGCTGAACCAGAGAGACCAACAAACTTCTCCAGTCGATTGAGAAGTATAACATGATCAAGAGTATCAAAAGCAGCGGACCGATCTAAGAGTAGTAAAAAGACTGTCACCCACATCAGTATATTTGTAAATATCACTGAACACTCTCACAAACGCTGTTTCAGTACTATGCTTTGTTCTAAAAGCTGATTGAAAAACTTCTAAAATTTGTTATTATCTAAATGGTCTGACAATCGCTTAAAAACGCCTTTCTCAAGAACCTTAGAAAGAAATAGCAGCGTAGAAATAGGTCGATGATTGGATAATACCGAGACATCAAGACCGGGTTTCTAAGAAGGGGTTTGATTACAGCTCTTTTCAGACTCTTAGGAACCTCCCCACACTGCAGACTAGAGTTGACTACATTATCAACCATATTTGAAATAGCTGGCCAAACGTTCTTAACAATAGAGGATGGAATGATGTCGAGTGCAGAGCTGGATGGTTTCATCCTTCCAACAATTTCAACCAACATATCTGGGGATACAGAGTCAAAAGAATTCAAAGTAGTTGAATCAAAACAGATTTCTTCATCAATAAAACTAAATTTCTGGGGAATTTGAGCTTGAATAGTTTCAGTTTTGCCTATTAATTATGTCAGAAACCTCTCAGCAGTAGTCGAAGAGGCTTTAAGTCCATCTGCGCACACACACACACACACACACACACACACACACACACACACACACACACACACACGGCTTGAAGGAGGGATTTTTATCCAATCAGTGAGAACTGGACGTGCACATTGATTGGACGAGGTTCTTCTAGGATTGTGATTAAAATTATTCTTAATTTTGAGAAAGAAAAAATCATTTTTTAGACACCATCAGCATGTGAGGTATCTCAATGTTCTCATGACTAAACTCTAACATGAGACTGTGCTCTAACCCGTCACATAACAATCTAAATGAAAGTCAGCCATCTCAGATGGAGCGTATGACAGCTGCTAACGTTGGCCCTGCCCTACTTTACCTCTACATTACAGTTCCTTTATCCATGTCCATCCCAGAGCTCCTCTCTGACCTTCATGCTTATTTAGAGCAGCTGATGTTTAAAGTTAGCAGAGTTCATCCTTGGTAGTGGGTTCACTCACTCATTTAACCCTTCACCACTGAAACCAGTTAGTTCATCCCAATCCTCCTAAATAATCCTCCAATCATCCAACTGGAATCCTTAAGGGTCCCGTAACGTCCATCCTGTCAGAACAGGCCTTGGGAGCCCAGGTGTTACTAGAACTAACGGTGTCTCCTCACCAGCGTGAGCCTCCAAACTGTGAAGGTTGGTCTCCAAACATGAACTTTAAATTCATGCATTCATCTCCTCTTGTAGCACTTGAACATGTTTTAAAAGGCTTGTATCATGATAAGTTACCCCCCCCCCCCCCCCACCCCCCCCCAGACCAAAGATAATTATCATAAACACTGCAGAGACGTCAATATTTATGAAATATAAGTTATTCTTGTTCACCTTTACTTCAACCCAATAATAAGATGCGTGGATGTGAGGAACCACGCCGTCTCCTGCAGTCCTACATTCTTATGAACCAACAGCCTGAAGACCTGACTGCTGGATGACTCGTCTCCCTCACGTGTCTCTGGAGAGACCACTTGTGAAGGACTTGCTGACAGACTTACCATCAGACTCAGAAGACCTGCTCTCATTCCAGTCATCATCTTCATCTTCATCATCATCATCTCCACTAACTTCAGTCTCTGAAGAATCAGATGTTTGTTCATGATGGTTCAGACCTGGGTTCCTGCTAGTTCCTGCTCCTCCACCAGCTGAGCTGCAGGCTGGAACATCTCTGTCTTCTATCTGCTGCTGATGAAGCTGTGAGACCAGAGGTTTCTCTTCATCATCCTCACTCTTTATAGAAGCAGCAGTAACAGGAAACCCGACAGCTTCAGGCTCCTCCTTCAGATGGACCTGCTCTCCCTCCAGACCGGTCCAGAGCTCCTCCTGTTCCTCCTTCATGTGGAGGTGTTCTGGGTCCTGCTGGTCCTCACCAGGAGCTTCTTCTTTAACCAGCACCAGCTGTGGAACATCTGTAGGACACACAGACACGTGATGTTGCAGCCCACCATACCTTTATGTTTACACCAGGAGTGATACCGGCTACATGATGAGGGCAGAAGGAACAAGAACATGAACTTCATGGAGATAAAAACATGTTTCTACGTGAGGAACAACAAAACCTTCCAGCACAATCAGCGTGTTTGGTTCTGAGCAGAACTTCTACGCCTCCTCCTCACAGCCCAAGCTGTAGGTGTGAAGCTTGTGAGGAGAAGCGTCTCCCAGATGAAACCAGCAACTATTCAGCCAAGAGGAACCTGAGTAAACACGTAGACGTCGCTGCTGTCAGGGACCATCTCTGCTCTTCAGCTCTCAGCGGGCTAGAGCTCTACGAAGCTGTCTTACACATGAGCACTTTGGGACATTTATTATTATTATTATCATCATTATTCTATGTTATTATGATGATTATTGTAGTAGTTACTATCACGTGTCCTGTAGGGGGTTCATTAGTGCTTGAGCAGTGGGCGGAGCCTGTTGTTTTCCACTCATCGTCTCAGTGTGGAGTGTTTTACTGTGACTCCTTGTGTGACCTCGGTCCGTGACACAAAAAGAAGAATCTAACTTGTGCTGCGCATCCATAAAACATCCATGTTTAGACTTCTTCTGTGGTCGCAAACCAGTCAGTGAATCGTACCGTAACCAGTCACACGCACCAACCACGGCCCATCGTCATCTACTGGACTAATGATGGGCGAATGGAACAACAGCCCAACCCTAGTGTGGGCTACCGGAGCTGCAATACTCACTCTGAACTGCGTGGCGCTAAAGAGTCAAATGTTTTTACACGCTGGGCCTTTAAGCTCTAAACCACAGCGACGTGCTGAAGCAACAGCAGTCATACGTGCCGTCAGCGCCGCTGCCGTCGTGTCTGCAGCAGGCCGTCTCCCCAACTGGGATTGGTCACATGATGATGCGTGTAGGTCGTGAACACATGAAAACCTCTCCTGGCTCTGACTGAAACCCGACAGAAGACCCAAGAGTTCCCACAGCTTCATCTCCCCGCTCCCCATGGGGACGGGTCACATGCAGGACGTAACGTCACCAGTGTGTGACCACGACTTTGGGACTTTAACTCCCCTCAAAACAAAACATTCTTTGGATCAACACGAGTCACATGACCACTGTACATGGCTTCAAAAATCCTTCATTGGAGCGATCTAATCACTCGAAAACTTCAATGTTCTACAACAGTGTGTGAATGAGTGAATGACTGGTTGTGATGTAAAACGGGGGGGGGGGGGGGGGGGGGGGGGGGGGGTAGAACCCCAGTAGTGCTAAACGTATACAGATCATTATTTTAAAGATTGAACTAGGGCTGCTCAATTAATCGAATTTTAATCACGATTACGATCTGAGTTTTGAACGATTATAAAAAACAAAACAAGCCGATTATTTGCTCCTCCCGCTTGCGCTGCCCTGAGTTACAAATGAAGCGCTCCTCACAGTGTTGCCAACTTAGCGACTTTGACGCTATTTCTAGCAGCTTTTCAGACCCCCTTCTTGACTTTTTAAATCCTAAAAGTACCTAGCGAACATCTCAGAAACATCTCTGGTAACCCTTAGCTACTTTCTGGATAACTGTCGTCGACATTTCCTGCAGGTTAGCTAAACACTCCGCCTGCACTCCGGACCGTTCTTCACAACATTAGGAAAGGGAATGATGCAGTGATGTGTCGGTCGCTAAAGACAGCTCTCGGAGCCGGCTCCCTGTTGGAGTAACCAGAGTGAGTGACACACACACCGTACCTGCGGACTCCTGAGCAGCTAAAAACAGCTAAATGTGCGCGTGCAGCGTGCTAAACACACGTGCAGCTTGCCCGATTGCTGTGAGACCGGGTTGGGGGGTGCAGCTGTGGTTGGGACAATTATTACATTAACTGATGGGCCTGTAAATAAATAGTTTATAAATAAGGTAGAAATAAGTTCCTCACGCTGATAACTAATAACTAACCTCTCTGAGGACACGGTGCTAGTGCACTCTCCTACAGCACCTTGACACGACTCAATAAATGTTATGCAACATTTTGTGAACATCAATTTATTTGCATTTATTTGTTATAAATGCCACTGTATAATTCTTGCTGTCAGTATTTGCAAGATATTGGTATTTGGGTCTGTACTGGTTAGACTTAAATGAGTTAAACCAAGGTCTATAGTCCTTGGGTCATAAACTATGAGCTATAAGTATATTGGTCTTTTTATACTGGGAATCAGGAGTTCTTTTAGTGATCATCTTGTTTCTTATTTTTGTCCTAATTGTGCCCTGAGCAATTTTATGACTGAATAAAACAAATAAAATCATAAATTGAAAAATCGTCCTAAATAATCGTGATCTCAATTTCAGTCACAAAAATCGTGATTATTACTTTTGCCATAATCGAGCAGCCCTAGATTGAACCTCATTCTCATCATTTCACTGTAATGTTCCACCATAGACTCCCCATTCATTCATTCATTCATTCATTCATTCATCCACCAGTACCTGTGTCCATGCTGTCCAGAACACACACACACACACACACACACCAGTACCTGTGTCCATGCTGTAACACACACACACCAGTACCTGTGTCCATGCTGTCCAGAACACACACACACACACACACACACACACACACACACACGCACGCACGCACGCACACACACACACACACACACCTGTACCTGTGTCCATGCTGTCCAGAACACACACACACACACACACACACACCAGTACCTGTGTCCATGCTGATGAAGCAGTCCCAGCTGATGGATGATCCTGAAGTGGTAGCAGGTTTTCTTTAGCCGTGTTTAGCTAACAGCTGCAATAGAAACAAAGCAGGAGAGCTGATTAAGATGCTGCTTCAGAACAACGCAGGAGATTAAAGATCCAACGCTTTGGTTCTGATCAGCTGAGGACACATCCAGTCTGGAAAAGAGGACCTTTGCTCACCAGAGTTCACGGAGTAGAGCTAACCGCTTTTTCCTCCAGAGTCACATTCAGATTCGGGCCTTTTCCGTCGGAGAGTGTGAGCAGGATGGATGAGAGAGCGAGCAGCGATCCTGCATCATGACCAACTCAGATGAGCGAGTCTGATAGAGGGAACCTCTTCAATCTGATGAAAGCAGCAAAACGAGCGCGTTTCTCAGAGAGGCCAAAGGAACAGCAGCAGATCCAGAGGGCAGGAAGTCTAGAGAAAAGCTTTTCTCACCCATCACCTGCTTCTGGAGCTCCGATTGTCACGAAGACCGCAGAATAGCTTCTCTGCTTCTGGAAAGAACTCCACCAAGTTGTTGAGGAGGAGAAGAAAGTTTCCACAGCCTGGTGAGAAGATTTCTGCAGCAGCAGCAGTTAGTCGCTTTAGCTGATCAACTCTCCCAGAGACTGAAGTGAAGACATTTTTACTGCAGAGCCTCAAATCTTCTCCTCACACACCACAACAACAACAAGCTAGCTCTGCTAGCAGCTTCCGGTTTCTGCTGCTTCCGGTGGTCCGTGACCAGTGTAAAGGCGCACTAGCGCCACCTGCTGGAGCAGAATAAAACACACCTGGCTCTCACACATACCTTCCGCTGGTGGTTTTCACAAAATATTTGTCTTAATGTTTTTTTTAACGGTTTGGTCAAAAGCGCCGAAAAAACAAGTACACTACATTTTGTTATACTGAATCTGACCAAAATGATCACCTTTTCCTTTAGGACCCATAACCTCATTGTTTCAGTGAAGGTATACAGATTGCCGCCCTCAACAGGAACAGAAAATGCGTTCTATGATGATTTGGTCATGGTAAACTTCAATTCAGTTTATTTATAAAGAGCCAAATCACGACAAGAGTCATCTCAAGGCACTTCACATAATAAACATTCCAACACAGGTCAGTTCATTAAGCCAGTCAGTAAAAAGTTTCCTATATAAGTGTGGCAAGTAAGAAATATAAATATAAATAAAGGATAAAAAGAGTTGTAACAACACCATCCTGGGATAACCCCCCCCCCCCCCCAGGGAAGGGTAGAAGGCCCGTAGGTTAAAAGAATCACAAAGGGAACAGATGGTATCTTTCCAGTAAACCTTTATTAAAAATCTACGCTAAAAACCATACTGGTGGAATTTAAGGGCTTGGAGTTCAATTAGTGCAGTTAGTCCACAGGAAGTAGCCACTCTGACCTAGAGCCAACAAATGCTAAAGGATGTTAAACCAACAAAAATTAGACACACTAAACACACCAGCTAATAATAAAACACATACAAACGAAATCTGGATACTTCCTGGCAATCCTGTGAGCGTTCTGGTGGTTACCACGGCAACCAGGCGCCCGACGCCCAACAACTAATTAACACCAATCACTGTAGACGAACAAATCCATACGGACAGAACAGATTAATGCAGACGGAACAGCAGTGATGCAGCCCTCTGGGCACACCAACGGCTCCTGAGATGGACCGGGTCGTGGCAGGACAGCAAGATGGAGCAGCAGAGGGTCCGGTGCACCACCGGCGACGTCAGACGCTCCGCTGATCTCGGTGGAGCACTGCAAGCAAAGCCGGATGACGAGCGGCCCTTAAGCCAAACAGCCCTGGAAGCCACACTGCAACACAAACACACGGACAATCAGGGGCAGGTAAACGTAAAATTGTGCCTGTGTAACTGAATCATGGACACTTACAAAGCAATAAACATGTTAACAGCACATTCAAGCTGCGAGTTCTTTAAACGCATGTAAAACGTCGTCCACGTCAGTAACCAGTAGCGTCAGGGGGCATTGGGCCTGGGCGTTACAAACACCGGCTATGAGGACGTGTGTGCCCTAATAAGCCACAAGTTTTCTGTTGTACCAAACTATGTTGTTAGAAACACACAAAATTTAGCTGTTTATTTATAAATCTGTAATATTTAGTACATTTGTTGACATACATAGGACGCCATGTTGGCACTCTGGGGGCGATGACATATATTGGTTGCTCTTGGAAGAACAGCTATTGACGCTGGTGTTTGTTTACGCTCTCACCGTATTGATTATTAAGTAAAATGCCGCATTGTGCTGCTTTTGGGTGTAATTTCCAGTCAGAGGGCAACAAGGGGAGTGATGCGTGTTTACAGCTTTTCCACTGTCAACAAGAGGAGAAAGCAGAGGGAAGATGACATGAGATTCCATAGTAAATATGAAATCAATCTTATGGACCTTTGGGTACTTTTAACAAGAAGATTGGAACTTTTTATTGCAGGGATGATGCAACACTTAGTATCAACTCAGAGACAAAAGAAAGAGAGTCAATTTCTAAAAGTTTAAATATTCATTACTAAAAAAATTAAAACTAGACTAACTTTAAACACTAAATGTCGGTGTAACTAAGGTGACGTGAGACGGAGAATGGTGTAGTGTGGAATGTTGTTCAGAACCAGCAAATCCGAAGAAACAATTACGTAGTTCTGATGGGAGTGAAGGTGATGTCTTCTCGCTAAGCTTTGATTTGGAGATTCATAACACACACTGAGATGCCATTCTATTGGCCTACATACCCTTTCAGAAGTCCCTGTTAGATCAGGAATGAAGAGGTCCAGCTAACCCTAACCCTAACCCTCTGGGACCGAAGCCAGTAGGAAAAGCAGTGGTTGCCGACCAGACCAGTCTTTGAGATACTTCCGGGTCACAACAGTTTATTGGCATCTAGCAAGACCCAAAACGGGGTCGTGATGGTTCAGCTTTTATTCTGAAAGGAACTGTTGCAGCAGTTGGAACAGCAACAGATTTTATCCAGCTTGTCGTTGTTTTTTTCGGCTGAAGAGGAAAGTTACGGATTGGCCACTCCGACAACTTCTCTCGAACGCTTAAAGAGCAAAACTAGAATTAATAAATAACCCCAATGAAATGATAATATAGGGAATCAATAATTAAAGAAGCAGAGCGGGTCAGTTCAGGTGCAAACACACTGGGGTCATGTAGGGCTGCCACGATTAGGCGACTCGCCATGATGACGCCAACAAACAAAATAGTCGTTTATTTCATACACATCTTTAATCTCGCCTACTGCCGCACGTTCAGGGGTTGCTTCCTGCTTCTCTGCTCAGCCGCCGCTTTAGCTCGGAGGCGCATGCGCAGTGGTGACCATCCAGATCAGCCACCGGAGAAAGAAAACACGGTGAGTCGGCAACGCCGCTCAACAGTTCAGGAGCTGTTTTACAAAGACAAAAGAAAGGCACGCAGAGTGCAACATTCCTTTCACGGGAGCACATCGGCGATGCACGAGCACCTTAAGAGAAAGTGCGTCATGGCGGAGAAGACAGAGTCGCCTCTGTAAGTTTACGTCTTATCTGCTAACATAGCTGTAGCAACACCATTAGCGGTGGCGATTTTATTACCTTCAGAACACGTTTGTGGGTCACGTATTTTTGCTCTAATTACAAACGCTAATGATTTATTTCATCCCGCTACGTTCCGGTGTTAATAAAAGTGCCCCTCTTCAGTGGACGAGTTTGTTACGTGCACACCTTAGCAAAACTGGTAAATAGCCTGTATTTGATAGCGCCTTCTAGACTCCTGGAACCCCCCAAGGCGCTTCACAACACCATCAGTCATTCACCATTCATACGATGGTGGGGATGATCTACGATGTAGCCACAGCTGCCCTGGGGCGCACTGACAGAGGTGAGCGAGCCAACGTCCTGACCGAGGCCATTGAGAGCATGTTGGTCAAGAGACTCCTGTCCATGGTTGGTGATCAAGGTGTCAGAGAGCAGTTCTACCAGAGACACCACGACAACTAGTAAGTAAGTAAGTAAGTAAAAGTTTATTTATAGAGCGCCTTTCACGGATATAAATCACAAAGCGTTGTACAACATGATAAAGATCAGGGCAAATACCTCTAACCAATAAACACATCAGAAAAACAATAGCAGTGATAAAGTAGAAAATAAAATCATGAGGAGGTTTTCAGATGTGGATCTAAGGTTCCGAGAGGTGGTGTGTTGGGATAAAAGCTCAGATAGGTAGCTTGGAGCCTGGTTGTTAAGAGCTCTATAGGTCAGGACTAAAACTTTAAACTGTATTCTATATTCTACCGGGAGCCAGTGGAGGGACTGTAAACCTGGAGTGATGTGAGCTCGTCTGCTGGATTTGGTTAGGAGTCTGGCTGCTGCATTTTGGATGGCTTGAAGGCGTGAGAGGGAGGCTTTGCTGAGACCAGTAAAAAGAGCGTTACAGTAGTCTAAGCGTGATGACACAAAGGCATGGATGATTTTTTCCAGATCTGCAGTAGAAACCAGTTTACGGACTTTTGAAATGTTTCTCAGTTGAAAGAAACAAGAGCGGGAGATGGTTTTGACGTGTGAGTCTAAACTTAAAGCTGGATCAAAAATAACTCCCAGGTTTCTAATGTTGGCCTTGGCTGATGGGCAAAAGGAGGCAATTTCTTGCTCGATTTTTGGCTGAAGTTCCGGGGGTGCAGCGATCAGGGTCTCTGTCTTGTTAGCATTGAGGACAAGAAAGCTGCTGGACAGCCAGTTACTGATCTGGGTCAGGCAGAGTACAAGTGTGGCCAGCCTGTCCAACTGGTGTGGCATAAAGGACATATAGATGTGGCAAGGTGGATAAACGAGGGCCCGGGCGGGATTCGATCCCCAGACTCCTGGGTGAGAGTCATACGCTCTAACCAGTCAGCCAAAGGGACATCCCCTTGGCCAAGTAGCCAGGGCGCATGATCAATCGGAACACTGTGACAGGACACTCACACTGTCACATCGAGCTGAATTTCGTCAGCGTAGATGTGGTAGGAGATGTCTGGGAAAGACTGAATGATGCCAGCTAGAGGAAGAATATAGAATGCGAATAGTAGAGGCCCTAGAACTGAACCTTGTGGGACCCCGCATGTTAGAGAGGCAGTGTCTGAGGAGAAGGTTTCTGACTTCACTGTGAATGTTCTGTTAGTGAGATAGGAAGAGAGCCAGTCTAGAGCAGAACCTGAAATCCCAGCCAGGGCCTTTAACCTGTTTAGTAGAACGTTGTGGTCTACAGTGTCAAAAGCTGCACTGAGGTCTAGCAGGACCATGACAGAGCATTTCCCTGCATCAGCAGCCATTAGGAGGTCATTATGCACCCTTACTAGAGCAGTCTCAGTTGAGTGCTGCTTCAGAAAGCCAGACTGGAAGGGGTCAGAGATCTTTGACTTAGAAAACCAGGATCTGAGTTGGGTTTCAACAACCTTCTCAAGTACTTTGCTGATGAAAGGTAGCTCAGAAATGGGCCTAAAGTTACTGGTGGAGCTGGCGTCAAGGTTGGGTTTCTTTAAGAGAGGAGTCACTACTGCATTTTTAAAGTAAGATGGAACACAGCCTTGGCTCAGTGAGCTGTTGATCATAGTCAACAGAGATGGACTGATGGAGGCAAGGGACCTGACTAAAACAGAGGGAGTTAAGATATCTGATGAGCATGATGAGAGTTTCATCTGACTGATTATTGAGGTTAAGTCATTTAGTGTAATTGGGGAGGAGGAGGTGAAAGACTCGGAGCA